ACTCTTGCTTTATAAATTTATCTGCTTTTTTTGGTTATTTCCAGTGGGAAGGTAAATCCTGTCCTCATTACTTTATCTTGGCCATAAGCAGAAATCTAGTTTCATATGACACAGTAATTCCATGTCTGGGTATTTAATACTGCGTCATATGAAACTAGATTTCTGCTTATGGCCAAGATAAAGTAATGAGGACAGGATTTACCTTCCCACTAGAAATGAAAACATTAATTTAAAGAGATATGTGTAACTCTATGTTTATTGTAGCATTTACAATAGCCATGAAAAAGCAATCTAGGTTTTCATTGATAGAGAAATGGATAAAGAAGATATGATATACATATATATGTATAAGTATTTATATATGATGTATATATAATATATACAGTGGAATATTAAGCAGCCCAAGAAAGAATGAAATGTATGAAATATTGCCATTTGAGACAACATGGATGGACAAAGAGGGTAAAATAAGTCAGAGAAAAACAAATGCCATATGATTTCATTGATATGAGGAATCTAAAAACAGAAAATAAATGACTAAACAAAAACAGACCAATAGAAACAGAGAACAAGCTGATGATTGCCAGAGGGTAGCAGGATGGGGTGAATAAGGTGAAGGGGAATAAGAGGTACACACTTCCAGTTATAAGAAAATATATGTCATGAGGAAATATAGAACAGTCAATTCTATTGCCATAACTTTGTATGACAGATGGGTACCTGCCTTAGTGTGGTGATCATATTATAAGACACTAGAGGCCCAGTGCACAAAATTCATGCACTCAGGGGCTGGTCCCTCAGCCTGGCCTGCGCCCTCTAGCAGTCCAGGAGCCTTCAGGGGATGTCCAACTGCCACGGAGACAGGAGAGGCTCCTGCCACCACTGTTTCGCTTGCCAGCCATGAGCCCAGCTTAGGGCTTTTGGCTGAATGGTTCCTCTGAACCAGTCATCTTGTGTATCTGCCCTCCCCCCGCCCCCTGATTGATCGCCCCACAAGGGTGGTCTGGAGGCTCAGGCCACCGGGCTGGCGGTGCTGCAGTGGGTGGGCAGGGCCTCTCTCTGCGGGGCAATCGATCTGGGGGCTCCACGATCAATTGCCCCACAGAGGGAGGCCCAGGCCAAACAAGGGATCGCACCCCATGCCTGTCGCCTGCAGAGGGAGGCGACCAGTGGCGGGTGGGGAGGGGGGAAGCAGTGCCACACAGATGGCAAGCAGTGGCAGTGGCAGGGGCGAGGCAAGCTGCCAGCAGCTGGGGGAAGGAAAGCCCTGATAGGCCCTTATCACCAGTCAGGCCTAGGGACTCTACCTGAGGGGTCCCAGATTGAGAGAGGGTGCAGGCCAGGCTGAGGGACACCACCCCCCCACCCCCACCCCCCCCACATGAATTTCATGCACTGAGCCTCTAGTATAGGATATAAATGTCAAATCACTATGTTGCACTCCTGAAAAAAATATAATATTGTATCTCAACTTTAATAAAATATAAAATAAATAACTAAAATTGAGAAAAGTCTTACTTTATCTTTTAGATAAAAAATATGATTATATCTATTACTGAAAACCCTTTAATATGCTCCTTTGCCCTTAGGATAAAAACTGAAATTCCTTGACATAGCCTAAAAGAACCTCATGGTCTGCCCCTGCACACCTTTTCAGTGTTACCACAAGGCAGGTACCTACCCTCCTGCATTCCTAGTTCTTCCCCCGGACCTGGTTTTAGTTCCCAAAGGCATCAGTCTTGCACTAGCTTCACTATCACCTCATCCACCACTGCATGCTCATCTACTTATCTTTGGGATCGAAAAGCAAATTTTGCTTCAGTAGAGAGAGAGTTACTATTGTTCTCCTTCCATACTTTTTGTCAGTCACATCAACTCCGTGAGGCTACCACAGCAGGGACTGGTCTTCCTCATCACCATGCCTGTGCCCTCGCCAGTCCCTCTGCTCCAATGTCCTCTCTGCTTTAATTCAAGGCAGTGTCACCTCCTCTTGAAAACTTTCCATAAACCTCTTCCATCCCTCTCCTACTTTCCTCCCAGTCTGAGTACACTATCTCTCCACGCTTTTTTAATACCCTCCATCCTAGTGGTTTTCAAAATCTACTGAAAGTTCCCTTGCCCTTATCCCTAATCAGGGGTGGAAAAAGGGTCCATATGGTTCTTTTCTGCATTTCCAGACCCCAGCAGAGCCTGGTGTGTACAGAGTTCTCTTTCAGTACTGTTTGCTGATGAATATATGGCTGCACAGGGCTCTTGCGCCTACTAAGCACTGATATGAGGCTATGTGGACACTATACTTAATGGGTAGAGCTGCCCTTAAAAAAAGGAGTTACATTAGTTAAGTAGAACAAATCATATTGGATGCTTTTGTCAAACTCCCTGACTTTGGCTCGAGATGAGTGAACTAATGAAATGCCTCTCAACCGCCTAGGTCGGGGTCTACTGAGATGGGTAATTGCAGCCCTGACAATACATTACTTGAACTGTCAACAGTTTTTTGTTCTCTCTCTTGCAAAATGCAGAGTAAAGTGGAAAATGCTGTGGGAACTCAGTGGCACTTAATTTACTGATAAGATGCAGTAGGAGCCTTTCTTTAACCTGGCTGTGACAGCAATAATGTGGGGACAAGTATTAGGTTTGGAATGCAATTGGCAAAATATTTTACACCCTGTGCGCCACTCTTCCCATCTCTAGAATTAAACTGATGGAAGAGAAAGCTTGTCCCACCATGGTAGTTACTATGGTGATGGATGGCTGAGATACAAGGTTGCCCTTCCCTGGCCATGCCAATTCCCTTGGATTCAGCTTGTTATTCTGCAGAGGGAGAAATGACCAGCAGGTCTCATTTTTTTTTCTTTGAATTGGGAAGTTGTGAGCAAGCCATGGCATAGAAAGGCCATTATACTGGCCTTTTGTGCAGAGAACCCAGGGCTGCTGTGCTGGGTGTGCACTCTCAGTGAGAAGCAGGGCTGTGGTGGTGCACACAGAAACATCTGTATGTGGGAGTGGGACCTGAAGGGACCTGATCTGAGACTTTAGGTGCCCCAGGTCCTGCCCAGGTCCTCCAAGGGCCAAGGAGATGGGTATTTTGGGGTAGAGCCCCAGTCAAGAAGCTCTGCTATGGGTTCACTCCATCACTTGGCTACTACAAGGGCCGTGTCCTCAGCTGGAGGCGCCCACTCAGCAGCGTCAGATGAACTTAAGCCAGAAGCATAGCTGATCAGAAGGTAGCAGCTGGGGCTAGGAGGTCCAGCATCAGACGATGCGATTGCCAAACTCCTTCAGTGCATAGACAGCCAGCTCTTACCCGGCCCCCGGCGCCCGAGCTGCCAGACACAGAATTAAGTTACATATGAAAGACTGCTAGGCACTCACAGGGACTGCAGGGTCAGTCTCGGAGGCTCTCCAGCCAGGGAAGTGCCTAACCCATCCATGAGGCTTCCCTGGGCCAGATCCCATGACTGCTGGACACAGACACCACCCAGCATGTCAGACACGGGCATCCGAAGTCCACCCTGCACCCACTGGTGATCGGGAACTGTGCACTGCAAGTCCACCTGCGGCCCCTGAAAAGCCAGGATGTTTTCACCATCTCCTGCATCCCCAAAGGGATCCACGTGGCATCTCACATTCCTGGCATCTGAGTGGAGGACACACATAGAGTTCAGGTGAGTGTCTGCAGCTGGCCTGACAGGCGGCTGAGGGAACAGGGGCTGCCTCCTACCGTGGCAGGCAGGACTCGTACACGGGATGGGAGTCCCCCTTAGGGAGGCAGTTCCAAATTAACCGGTGGGCCCCAGTGTGACTAGCACCCACTGCATCTCCCAAAGCCACATGTCATTATCTTCCTCTATCAACAAGTCCTGTTCTGGTCTTTTCTAGGTCAGGGGATGCCATTGTCATCCCCTGAGTCCACTGGTGCCAGCTGAGAACTGGGCTTGGTTCCTCACTCCCCTGAACACTTCCACCCAGAGCATCTCCAAGTCACACCCACTCTGCCTCCTGAACAGCTTATTATCTTGTCCCAGTTCCACTCACTGGATCCAGGCCCTCGCCACCTCACCTGGCACAGCGACCCCTTTCTCCTGGCTCCAGGCCTCGGACTGCCCACACCACCTCTTCTCCCTGCTGTGCCTGCTAATATTCACTACAGTGTCAACCCTCGGGCTTCAAGTCTCATGGTGGGTCCCCACTGCCTTCAAGAGAGAATTCAACCCCCTGATCCTGTGGTAACTCTTATGTTTTCTTCTTACTCTCATGCATCTAGTACTCCAATAATATTCTTATTCTCTAACAGAACAATAAAACAGCTGCAGTGTACTGCGTACATACTGTATATGCAATGTCAATGCCTTCACAGTGTCCGTGGAGGTAAGTGCGTCTTTCAGCGGAAGACAGTGGGGCCACGGCAGCCCCAGCATTCAAAATAGGCCTGCTGACTCCCAAGTCACGCCTTCAGCCAGGCCTCCGTCAGCTCGGTCTTTACTCAATTTCTTGCTGCTGGTTGAAGAAGACTGCTTTCTGCCACTTCTATTCGATGTTCCTTTCCTCCTGCGTCAAATGGCACCCTTCTCTGTTCCTACCTGAGTGTCACTCTGCTGCTCATTCTGGGATAGACTCTTTAGAGAAGCCTTTCCCACTCTCCCTGCCCCATCGCAGGTGCCCCCAACGGAGCCTCCCCACAGAGCCAGAGCCCACCTAGCCACACCGCTTAACAGAGGCTGTTAATCTTATCAGTGCACTCGGTCCTCCTGCTAATCTTATCAGTGCACTCGGTCCTCCTGCTGCAGCCAAATATATAAATTGCTCATCAGTTTCAGTTTCCAGGACAGGGTAAGTCATATCTCCTGGAGATCAACAGGGTCAATGATTACGACAAGCCATTCCCGTTGTGAACTGATTGAGACCTAGGCCAGAATGTTTCTACGATTTGTGTACCCGAGACCTCAGCCCCTTGACAAATTTCCCAGAGATTGAGGCCCCGAAAGACTAGTACATACCTGTGGGGATAGTGCTCCGGGCCTGGCTAGCCGCTGGGGGAGCTGAGTGCCACAGACAACTGCCCACCGGGGGAGAGGCTGCCTGGTGCTGGGCCTGGGGTGTGGCGAGGGGGAGGGCTGCTCTCCCGGTGGTGGCAGGGCTGCTCAGGCTCCCACCACCTGGGTGGATGCTTGTGGCCATCCCTTTGGCCAGTGGAGACCCTCCAACCACATTATTCCCAGGTGGCCCAGGCCCTCCTAAAGGAGCCCTAAGGAAAAAAAGAGAATGAACTCAAGTGACAGTGCAGACAAAACCACCCCACGTGGGCCATTGGTAAAGGCCTGCTCTTACACACTGGCCTTTCTGAGATGAAAGCCACGCAGGCCAGGAGAGAACCCTAAAACAAAGCCGAGATAACCCTTGTCGGCAAACAATGCCCAGAGCTCCAGCTGAGAGGGTGCCCTCTGTAAGTCTTCATGGGGGCTAACTCTGTGTGAATATTCAAGAAGTAGCAAAAGAACCCTGAGAAACAGAGGCATTATTCCAACCAATAAAATATTTTGTACCAGAGTTACTGTTTTGACTCATTCTAACAAACAGCTGTGCGTCCCCAAACACCTCCAGAAAGAGCGATGGCTCAGTCACATCCCACGAGGCTTGGACACATCTGCACCTGGAGGGAAGCAGTGGCAGGACCTACTACTCCCTCTGGACAAGGCCACCTCCTTGCTCTGCCGGCCTCTGGGAAGGGCACCAACAGACCATGTACCGCTGAGAGATGTCAGGGAACTTGCAGCTTCTTACCAGAAAATAAATGCCCTTTCAGCCCACGGTTTCCAGATGAAACCAGTGTAGAGTGTTTAAGAAAAACCAATGGAAAACAGCAACTTGGAAGATAGGCTGTTCACACTTGCACACTTTGCATATTTGTGCTGTGGGGTGCAGAATACAGTGGAGGCGGGTTTTGCAAGGTGTTTAGTTTCAGGGGACTGGAATGTCTTCCATTTGTCCAAGAGCTCAATAAACTCCCCTTTGTCTTCTTGGGATCTCAGTCATGAGCCACCAGAAGCCACACCTGGGAGAGAACAGGCTCTGCCGGGCGTGGCTCCGGGCCAGGTCAGAGGCCCCTCTCCAGGTGGCTTGGTACCATTGGGTCTGACTTCAAATGGTCATTGAGTCAGGTTTCTACAGGACAGCTCTGGGGAAAGCCCCCTAGGGAAGGACCCAACTGTCCAGGGACTGGGCAGCACCTTCCCTCACTAGTTGTAGAGCTGCCTTGAAATTCACTTCCAGCATGAACCTGTCAGCTGGCCAGCCCAAACCATCACATTTAAAAAATCACATCTGCTACCTGCTGGGCTCACTTTTTCCCTAGGAAATTTTTAAAAATTAAATAAAGTGGGCTTGCAAATTATGGGCCTTCCCAGGAATGACAAGAGGTGTGAGCCTACTCCAGGCTGGCACTGCCCCTTGGGCGCTTAGAAGTATGGATCTCTAGCACCAATGCAACATGTAAGCACTGTTTAATTTTTTTCACAGCAGTCTTGTTTCAAAGGGAGTACAAGGGCCACATCTCCAGTTTTCTTATGTGCTGTGGATGTTGACGTAGCTCTGAACTGGTAAAGGGCTTCCCTGAGCGAGATGGACTGAAGATCAAGCAGTGCCCTCATCTCAATGGGAAATTCTCAGACAACTCTGGATAACATTTTCAGTGAATTTTTAAAATTGCTCTGTTTTAATAAAAATAATATAACAAGCCCTAACAGGTTTGGCTCAGTGGATAGAGCATCGGCCTGTGGACTCAAGGGTCCCAGGTTCAATTCCGGTCAAGGGCATGTACCTTGGTTGCAGGCACATCCCAGTAGGGAGTGTGCAGGAGGCAGCTGATCGATGTTTCTCTCTCATCAATGTTTCTAACTCTCTATCCCTCTCCCTTCCTCTCTGTAAAAAATCAATAAAATATATTTTAAAAAAATATAACAGACATTTTGTAAGACACAGGAAAGCACAAGGAAGAAAAACTTTTATCTATAATGCTACCAGTTAATAACAATTGCTGACTTTGGGGAGTACATCACTTTTCCTTTGCACATATGCATGTATGCGTGTTTCATGTAGAGCAGGTCCATGTTACAGCACATGTGCCCGCTGTACTCTCACTGTGCACAGGAACCTCCCCCCCGATATCCACACCCACACCCACACCTGTGAGTCTCGCCCTCCATGGTGACTCTGCCTCCACTTACTGCTACTGCCCTGACTGCAGCTCATTCTGCTCCCACCCTCTCCCTGGGCAGCCAGTGTCTGTTCGGGGAAAGACAAGCAAACCTAATTCAGAAGGGGAAATGCTTGCTACTTAGAATCCTTGTTCAAGGGGACTCTGAGCTCACAGGGCCAAACCCGATAGGCAGGGGCTTCCTGGCTGCCTTCTGAACTGTGTTTTTGGGTGGCCCAGTGATGACAGCTGCAGGGAAATGGGAGGGGGGATCCTCCCTTCTTTCCCAGGCAGCGACTACGACCTCACCTGGAAGCAGGAGTCACATAATTTCCTGGGAACACCCCAGAGAGCCCAGACCTCAGGGACGTGCCCTTGAACCAGCCGTCCTGACACTTCTCCAGGACGCAGTACATCTCGCCCTTGCGCAGCTCCAGCTCGTCACTCTTCTGGGGCTTGTAGGTGTAGAGTGCCAGGTACCTGCAGGCAGAAGAAGCAGGGCCAGGATCAGTAGTGGCAGGCAGGGCGGGCATAGAGCCACTGTGTCCCCCGAGTCACATGTGAGTTCTTCTGTGGGTGAACCCAACTTAAGAGTAGCTGATGCATCTGGGGACTGGCACACACAGCATGTGATCTGCTCTTCCCAGTAAAGCAATGAGGGGCTGGGGGAGAGGCATTCCCAGCACTGCAGGTCCAGGGAGGCACTGGCAGGGAAGAGGCAGAGCTCTGCCCTGATCCTGGAGCCCATGGCCATGCCCAGCTCAGCGCCTACCCAAGCAAGTGTGCAGCCAGGAGCACCTTTCCGACCTGACAGCTCAGTGAGGCTCCTTGAGCCGTGAGAGGCCCTGGGGTGTCAGAAGTAGATCTGGGGCCAGGTCTTAGGGGCCGCCCTGTTTTTGTTTGTTTGTTTACTATTTTCTACACTGTCTATAACTTGGTGCTCTGGGCAAGAGACATCTTTAGGAAAAACAGGGAGCAAGAGAACAAGCTGGAATGGGTTTTCCTTGTTTAGTCTCCGGCCCGGCCTGACATCGATCTGAGCTGGCAGAGGCCTCGAGGCCCTGCATAGAGAAAAGGCAGCCTAGGTAGGGAATTCTTGGTTACATTCTTCCTTGCAATATTTGTACCACAACTAATTATTCAAATTCTACTTTTTTTTTTTTTTTAAAGCAAGTTTATTTGAAGACAAGGAAAGAACAAACTTAGTGGTGGAAATTCCCACTTAGGGCCCAGAAAGTGGGCCTCCAAGCTGCCAAGAGCCATGGCAAACCCCTCTGTAACAGACCTAGTGACCTGACCCCAGCCTCCCAGGGCACTCTGAGGACTGGGAAATGCTGCAGGTGCTTTGCTGCTTGGGGTTTGAGAATGGTTAGTTGTGAGCTGATAGAATTGTGAGGCAGTTCCCTACAGACACAGATTCACTAGACGTTGCCCCTCCCAAGGGCTGCCTGAAGCCCACAGGGCTCTCTGTGGTTGGGGAAGCTGAGGTGCCATCTGGGCCCCAGATTCCCCTGAGGATCAGCTGGGCTTCCCCCAAGCACAGCTCAGTGCTTGCTCCCTCACAGGCCTGACTCCCAGTGGCAGTCCTCCCCCAATGCAGGGCAGTCCTCCACACGCGGCAGGAAACCCGACTTAGCACTAGTGCTGCTGAGGACCCACCGGCACCTATAGGCCCCCACGCTGGCTTTCTGTCAGTTGGCCCTGCTGGCACCTTCACAAGTGCCACTCTGCCCACAGGCTCCCACTCTGTTCAGGGTGACTTTCTGCCCTTCCCCTGTGCATTCTTCTCCACTCCTTCCCGGTCGGGGCCTGGTTCTGCTCTCTCCCTGAAGGTGATCAGCATAACAGGGTGCAGGAGGGCAGGTACCGTGCTGCTGCAGGAGCTTCCCACAAGCGGGCTGCTGTCAGAGGAGACTGGATTGTGGGGTCACTCCCCTGGCGCCTCACCGCAGAGCAGGGACTTACATTACCGGGTCTTAATGTACTGAGCTCACACTGGTCAATCCCACTGCAGCCCGAGGTGCAGAGCCAGCCCTGTGTTACGAATCTGGGTAGAAGCGATCCCATCCCATGTGAGGCATGGTTCCCACCATCACAGACTGTGTAAACATTAGAAGACGGTTTGGCGACCTCTTCCTGTTCCCACAGGTCCTTCACTCCCCTCATCTGAGAAACCCACGGAGAAGTGGAGGTAAGATTCACTCACAGCCCAAGTGGTGGCCTATTTATAAGGGCTGCTCCGACCTGAAGTGTGGCCTCCAGGACCAGACATTTATGCCCCAGGAAGCCCTACAAGGCAGGCAGATGAAGAGCAGACAAGCCCGGGCCAGGGAGTGGACTTTGAGTGGCCTCCCAATACCAGGCAGTGAGAAGGGAGGGTGTGGGCTCCTGCAGGCCTCAGTGTGTCATGGGAGAGATGAGCAGCCGCCTCATGCACTGCGTAAGCAAACTGAGATCCCTCTTTGTGGATTTGTGTGTTTTTTGTTTTTTTTTAAAAAATAGATTTTATTGATTTTTTACAGTGGAGGGGAAAGGGATAGAGAGTTAGAAACATTGATGAGAGAAAAACATCGATCAGCTGCCTCCTGCACACCCCCTACTGGGGATGTGCCCACAACCAAGGTACATGCCCTTGACCGGAATCGAACCTGGGACCCTTCAGTCCACAGCCTGACGCTCTATTCACTGAGTCAAACTGGTCAGGGCCCCCTGGTGTTTTAAGAAAACCAAAGCCTTAGACAATCAGTGCCCATGGGAACTTTTATATGCTAGAAGAAGAGGGTAAGAACACTCTTCGACCATTGGCTGACCTGAGCGATCAGGCCTTTCAATTATATGGGCTCACACTTCAGAGCATGTGACTTGACCTGCAGAAGGCAAACCCTGCATGGACGTGGATGACTGGAGTCATTCTGTCACAGACCTTCTGATAGCCTGGCCGGTGTGTATCACAGACCCCCGGCTCACAGTAGCATGCTCACTGCCACCCTTGTCTCTGTGTAGGCGTCCCTATCATGCACAACCTCAGATCATCTTTGAGCATGACTACTGCTACTGTTTTGGGAAGGACAGACAGACAGAGAACAACCACATTCCCACCCTACATGCCTGTCACCGGCATGCACGGACCACTAACTTCTTAGAGCTAAAAAGGATAGATGAGTGATCAGGTTAATCTGATAAACCAAAGAGGTCATTGGATCGTTATCTCCCTAGTAATAAAATAAAGACTGCGATTTCAAAGGTCATATTCTCAAAGTGGATTGTGCATAGCGCTGTAACATATGAGATATTACTTGCCATGGTGCTTGGCACTCGGTACAAACAGCCATGCGAAGCACACAATGAACCAGTCTCCAGCATTGCTGGCCATGGTTTCTCTGCTTCTCAGATGACCACTGTGACTAGCAGACACATCTCTGCCAAAATGCTTATCATCCTTTCAAGGACAGTATTTGACATGGAAGTCTTCCTTCTGTTACCCAAATGAAAATCAACCCAGACACGGACAGCCATGCTCTGGGAGGAGACAGAGAAGGAGAGAGCAGAGGGATGGGGTCCCCAATGGCAGAGTGGGGTGGGGTGGGAAAAGAGGTCTTTCCATCTCCACACAAAATTGAAAAGCCTGCAAGGTATGGGAGGTCTGTGCATGGTGGGGCCTCCAAAATGTACTCACACACCCGGGAGTGACATTCTTGGAACTGTGCTACCTTTTGGGTCTCAAAGACAGAGCAGCCTTCTTGGGTGGCTGGTTTGATGCAGAGTTGGGGACTTTGGGCCAACACCGGGAGTCCTCTGCACCGAGGAGGGGTAAGGCTGTGGCTCTCATTGAACAAGTAAACATCTGTTGAAAGCCTGTGTGCTGGGCATTCATTTTGAGACCCAAAAGTGGAACACCTGGGCCTTGTTCTGCAAGAGTTCCCGGTGTCCTGCCTCTCATTTGGGAAAGTCCACGAGGGCCCAAGGGTCTCCTGTGGATGAAGATCTATTTTCTCAGGGAAAGGAAATCCAGTGTTAGAAGAGCAAGACCATCACCACCATCCTTCCCCACGTGCCTCCTCGGTCCAGGTCTGAGTGGAAGCCATTGGAGCTTACCCAGGAGACCCAGTCAGAAGACAGCACCTTCTGTCCAGTGTTGGTGAAAACGTGGGTTTCAGCCTAAAGACATCTAGAAGGCAGTATAGTAATGCTCCCCTCGGGAAGCTAGGTTAAATATAGGTGAGCCTCAATCTCCTTTTGCTTACCTGAATGATAATAACCAACTCACAGCACTGTGGGTAAAAAAAGGAGGATGTTCATGATTCCCTCCCTGTCCCCACGTAAGGCAAACGCTTCCACTAGGCCAAGGGAGGCAGGGAAGCATGTACCAGGTATTTAAGCTACTTCTAGGAAACCTTCTGGAGCTTGGCAAGTTGCTTTTTCAGAGGCATTTTGCTTGAAATACATTCTGTTCTGCACCAACACAGATTCCCAAGTGTCCTTCTGACTGCGTAGTACCTGTGAACATTTCCCTTCCCCAATTATTGACCAAATTCTTACTCTCCACCTTAGAACATTCATTCAGGTAACTGGCTCATTGCAAACAAAAGAGTAGAAGACAGTCTAATTCTTCAGAACGCTATTTAAGTGGGGAGTTTTTATACTGCACGTATCTTTTAAGAACTGTAATTTAACAAGAGTAGGTTCTAAGCAAGACAAGCATGTCACTTCCAGCAGTGACTCATCAGGGTGTATTTGGCTGTGACACACAGATTCTGTGCATGGGTATGGCAGTGACAGCTACTAAGATGCTGAGCTACTCTGAGCAGCTAGTAACTAGCCACCATGAAGACCCCACGACCTCCCACTGCGCCAGCATCCTCCCACTCTGGCCTGCAGCCCACACCTTCTCAGGGGCCTGTGAGGTGTTCTCTTTGCTATGGTTGGTCCTCTCCTGATTGGCCAGTGCCTGTATCATCAAATATTTTGATTATGCCCTCTGCTCATAATAAATTTCCTAGGGACAATAACATTTAAAATCCTGCTAAACTTTTCTGCACTTTCCTGTCAGTACTATTATTAGATGTACATAATTAAAACTGAGCAACTAGTGGGCAGCTGGTGTGGCTCAGTGGTTGAGTGTTGACTCATGAACCAGGAGGTCACAGTTTGACAGCTGGTCAGGGCACATGCCTGAGTTATAGGCTTGATCCCCAGTAGGGGGCATGTGTGAGGCAGGTGATAAATGTTTCTCTCTCATTGATATTTCTATCTCTCTATCTCTCTCCCTTCCTCTCTCTCTGAAATCAATTAAAATATTTAAAAAATAAATAAAATAAACTGACCAACTAGTAACACATGAGGCCCCCATAGAAACCACACATTTCCACGCTGGCAGGGTGAGATGGAGATGCTGAGGGCATGGGATCCCAAAACACAAACAGCAGCTCACACATTGAGAGGCAGCTGCCCTTTGGGAGCCATGTCCTGCGGTTCAGCCGCTGGGCTGGATCCGGCAGAGGAGGAGTCCTGTAAACAGACAAGAAGAGAGTGAGCTGACAGGTGGCCCTGCCCAGGAAGGAGAAAGACAACGTCGCATGGCATCATGAAGCATGTGTCCTCCCCTCAGGGTCTACTTGCCTGGGTTGTTAATGACTTTTTCCCCCATATACTGGGGAGAGCTTGGCGCCCAATGACGGGCCCACGGCAGCTCTCCAGAGCCCTCCTGGAGCAGCTGCTCAGAGCCCCTTTCTGTGACTGCATCTGGGTCCATCAGCACCACTTTGTGCTGAATATGGAAGAAGGCAGTTTCAGGAAGTGCATCTTTATTCTTAAAGCTTGAATGAATTATTCTTGTGTTTGTAAAAAGAAAATCCAGACAAAACCTTTCATGCTATAAAGCCTGCACTCATTGAAAAAATGCATTCCCAGGAACTAAAGAGTAATCTCTACAGAAAGCTGGTCCTTTGGCTGTGGACAGAGGGCAGGTTGTAGGGCAACAGGACTGACAGAGCCTAGCATCTCCCACCACAGCCCTGAGGGACTCAAAGCTTCAGAGTTTATTGTGCAAGGAGATGACTGGAGGGACGTCTGCTTCTAGATAGTTCCTTACAATCAGGTGTATGCTAAGCCGGCTGAGGGAAGTGGTTAAGGGCCAGCAGAGAGATCTGGGCTGTGCATAATCTCGCTGAGGCGATTCCTGCACAGAGGCCCCTGTAGACCCAGCCACAATGAACTGAATTGTGCCCCCCCAAAGATATGTCCAAGTTATAGCCCCTAGTGGCTGTGAAGGTGGCCTTATTGGAATAAAGGTCTTTGTAGCTATAGGTAAGGATCCTAAAATGAGATTACCCTTGAATAGAATGGGCCCTAAATCCAATGACAAGTGTCCTCATGAGAGAGAGAAAAGGAGGACAGAGAGACCTGAGAGGAAGGAAGGCCACTTAAAGAACAAGGCAGAGACTGGAGAGGTGCATCTCTAAGCTCAGGAGCACCAAGGATTGCTGGCAGCCACCAGACGCTGGGAGAGAGGTCTGGGATGGATTCTCCCTCAGCCTCCAGAAGCAACCAATCCTGCCCACCAACACCCTGATTTTGGACTTCTGGCTTCCAGAACTGTTGCGTTAAGCCACCCAGTTTGTGGTACTGTTACAGCAGCCCCAGGGAACTAGTAAAACTCTATTCACTGCCCTTGCTTAGCTGATGAGCTACATGTGCTAAGGCAACCTTCCAATCCCTCCTGGGTGGTCGACTTCCCTCCTCCACCAGGGATCATGAAAGGTGCCGGAAACCACAGCACATCTACAACCTCTAAGAAGTTAGAAATTCTATTCTTTCTTATTTAAACAACGAAGTGCCTGGCAGAATGAGAGCATGCAACACAGAAGCGTAACTTCCCTCATTTCTCCAAGACACCGTGAAGTTTCAAAGGATTTCCCACTCCAAGCTCCAGCATCTGCGAGAGACTGCTTCCCAGAGGCAGCCCCTCCCCAAGCATCCCTGTGGCTGATGCAAGATGCTGCTTCCTGGGGTGCTGTGTGGGAATGGGCTAAAGGTGGGGGACATTCCTCTGCTGACAGATATGGGGGACTTCTGTCTGCTCATCACACCTGCCGAGCCTAGGAGGGGAGACAGACCTGAAGGCATTCACCATCAAAGCTTGGGAATTTTTTCCTTCAAGATGCTGGAGGAGTTCTCCACAGCTGGCCAGGGACCTCCTCCACAGGCTGCAGGCTGGGGTGGGCACTGGTTCCAGGCCCTTCCTCCCCTGGGGTAAGGACAAGCACCCCAAGTGCTGGTTTCCCCACAGCTGTCCCTTCTTGGATGGTCCCTGGAGAAAGGTGTGGGCAGGATGTCAGGGCCCTTCACTCACTCACTCACTCACTCACTCACTCAGACACGGGAAGGTGGCTCCATGCTGGGGGTGATAGCCGAGGCCTAGGAGCACCCCGTGTGCCACTCGTCAGCTGAGCAAAGTCAGACCTGGTCAGTGAGCTGATGAGAAATGTTCTCTTCCCCCTCGGCTCTGCATACAAGCAAGAAAGTAGTGTGACAGTCAATTGAGTTGTAGGGTTGTTCTGCCTACACGAGACATGATCTAGGTCCTCACTGACATCTGCTGACCACCGATTGTCAGGACTGGCTCTATGCCCATTGTGAGCTTGCACGGGGGATGACAAGCACTGGACATGTCATTATAGACATGGGAGTCCCAGTAGTGCAGGGGCACAGGAATATACAACTGGGACCTCACCTGAGGGTGTGACCAGGGAGGGCTTCTGTGAGCAGGGAGTGGGCCCATTAGGTGAGGTGATGAGGGTCGGATGGTGAAGGAGGTGCAGAGTAGTCTGTCCAGCAAGGGCTGGCAAAGGCAAGCTCAGCAAGTTTGAAGAAACTGAAAGAAAGGAAAAGGTGAGGGAAAGTGCCCAGAGCCTGTCTGTGTGAGGCCTTCTGGGAGGGTTCTGGCCTTCACTTTGAGGGCAGAGATGCCCTGGAAGGCTGGCAGGAGAAAGACTGAGATGGAGTCAGACCCATGCCTCACAGGGGGACCCCTCAGGAAGCATGAGGAAGGCCAGGTCTGGGTCAAGGGCATGGGGATGGAGGAGGTCTGGCATGTATAGGAGGTGGTGGGTAAGAATAATTACAGCAAAAATAATAAAGACCACTCCCCCATCCAGAGCTCACCAGCATTTCTGCTGGAATAATGCATTTAATATTCAAATAAGCCTATAAAGTGGGTGTTTGTTTTTTATCAGCATTTTATAAAATGAGTATCTGAGGCACAGAGAAGTTAGGTGAATGGCTCACATTCATGCCAATATAGGGCCATGGCTGGGCTGGAACTCGGGCAGTCAGGCGCTGGAGGCCACGTGCCTACTCGCCACATCTCTGCATGAGTTTCTCATGGCTGCTGTAACAGGTCATGACATACTTAGTGACTGAAAACAACACAGATACACTGTCTGACAGTTCTGGAAGTCAGAAGTCCCAACACAAAGGTTGGCAGGACTGTGCCCTCTGAAGGTTCTCAGGCAAAATCCATGCCTGGTCTCTTTCAGCCTCTATAGCCACCCACTCCCCCCAATCCCTCCTCAGCTGGTGGCCTCTGCCTCCATCTTGAAAGCCAGCAACGTATCACCTTCAAATCTCTCTCTCTGACCTCTGCTTCCATCACGTCATCTTCTCTCTGACTCCAAACCTCTTGTCTTCCTCTTATAAAGACCTTGTGATTACATTGGGGCCACTGGGTAATCCAGCATAATCTTCCATCTCAGGTTCCTTGCCCCTTTTGCCTAGTAGAGTAACACATTCACGTTCTGGGGTCAGATATTTGGGAGTCCATATTCCCTCCTCTCCCAACAGGACTAGTGGAGTCATGAGCTGAAGGGCACAAGAGAGGATGATGAGCGGAGTTTCTGGCCTTGGCAGCTGGCCAGATGGGGGTGTCATGTGCAGAGATAGGGAGTGTGAGATCTGGGAGCCATCAGAGTTGGACGTGTGGAGACTGACATGCTTGGAGATGGTGACGTGAGGATGAAGCAATGCCAGCTGAGCAGAGGGGACAGGCCTGCAGGTGGAGGTTTGGGGATCACTGGCATGTAGCTTGTCTACATAGCAATGCAGCCCGCCAGTTAAGTTCTTAGCGCTCAAGTATGTGAGCTCGTGTCTGTGTGACCTTGGACACAGAGCCTCCACCTCTCAGGTTTAAGTAGGAGTCAGGACTGCTGCCCTCAACTATGTGGCAGCAGGGACGGAACTTACCCTCCCAACTAAAGCAATTGAAAAATCAGGCAAAATATGTGAGCCAATGGTTCCCTAAAATTTTAAAAATTAATAAAGGACAGGTAGATATGCCTGAGAGATGAGAAAATAGGGTCATAAAGGCTCCTGTCTTCTATGTTAGTTGGAATATTAAGTGAGATAATTTAATTTAAGCCCTCAATAAATGCTGCTATTATTACTGAAGCCAGGGTAGGAGGTGGATGAAATGGTCTGAAGGAAAGTGGGGTGAGGAGAGGATAGCCTGTGGACCACCAACGTGGCAGGAGAGCTGGCAAAGAGGACAGAAAACAAGCAAGAAGCACTGGTGTTTCTGGGTTCAGGGGAGAAACAGTTTCCCAGGAAGCTGTTGACAACCATGCTGAATGTTGTGGAAGGTCAGGAGAGATGAAGGCCAGAGAAGCCCTTCAATGTGGGGGTGCAGACACTCACTGGGGCTGGCAATTCTTGCTAACAATGAACCCTAAAATCTGCAAACAATTTCTATTTATAATATAGAAAATTTGGAGCAACCCAAGTGTCCCATGCCAGAAGGTTTGATGGCAGATGACACCATGCACAGCAAATAGCCATGAGGTAAGGGGAATTCACACCAAGAGGTATGGAGGGCTGTGTGAAGTGCCTCAAATGGAAAAGGTGGCTAGAGAAATGCGTGTGTAGGCTTACCTCATTTCTGTAAAAGATGCATGTATTTCCAGGGGAAAATGGTCTGGAGATTTATATATCAAACTAGAGGCTTGATGCACGAAATTCATTGTGCAAGAGTAGGCCTTCCTTCCCCCGGCTGCCAGCACCGGCTTCCCTCTGGCACCAGGACCTGGGCTTCCCTCTGGCCACTGGCAGGCACCCGGGACCCAGGCTTTCCTCACAGCCCCAGCTTCGTCCAGTCTAATTAGCATATTATGCTTTTATTATTATAGATGATAACCATTGGTATTTAAGGGAGTTGGGATTTGGGATAATTATTTTTAAGTCTATGTGTTCAAATTTTTCATCATTTTAATACTAAAAAGCAAAATGGTTTTCTGATACATTGTCCAAGTCATAAAAAGAATAATAAGGTTAAGTTATTTGAGACCTGTTTAAGACCAAGCTCTGGGTGATGGTGATCCTTGTTTTCCTGGTTCCCACATGTGCCATCTTTATGGGGATGCCAGGGGCAGACAGGAGATCATGGAGTGCCCCTGAGGACTGGCCCAGGTGACTACTGGCAGCGCACAGGAGGAAGCCAATACCTGGGCACCAAGCAC